TGCACTCACAAAATTGGTTGGTAAATTCAACGAGTGGGTGCATCGACCTGGTATATCAAGTTTCTGCAATTTTTTACGGCAAATCAGTAGATTTTCGGGATGTAGATTGCTTACTTTCAATTCATGAATGAATAAAGCAACGACATGGTTGAACTTCTTTGCATGGAAAGACGTTTAAAATAACAAAATCAAGACGTATTTAATGCAATTGCATTTATATCGAGTCAATTTCTTTTCAATAATATAACGGGATTTTTACTACCGGTGATTTGGGTATTTTAGCCCCAAAATACCTTTAAATCGACTTTATCTTCTAGGAGTTCGACAGAATTTTTCCTTTCTTCGCTTAAATTATTCCGTAGCACTTTTCTTCAAGAATCTGATAAGATTTTGCTTGAGGCAGATCAAAAAACTTAAATTCGATCGAATAGCTTTCTACTTTCACAATACACGGTCTCGTCAAGGTGCGTCTTTGACCTCGCAGTGTTGGATCGTGAATTCTCTTTTTATGCTGTTTGCCTATTTTGAAATCTCTGTAAATGAAAACTAAAGGGGTTGATATGTGCGAGTTAATGACGCGCCTTATCAACACATTGTGTTGGAGTTCACTGCTTGTTTTAATTTATTTATGTTTTCCAAAAGCAACTCTCGGGAAACTTGTTCGTTAATCATTGTTATGAGGCCACGTTTTATTTTTTTCAGAGCTGCATCCCTTCCGATAACTTTCAAAGTGTTAGAGGACGAGGTGAAGATGAACAAACGGATAACACGATTCGTGCTGCCACTTGGGAACTTGAACCTCAACGGAACGGCCGCATTTATGACCATCGGTGTCATTTTCATCGCCCAAATGAACAACATGCCGCTTGGAATCGGCGATTATGTCAATTTACTGTAAGTGAAACCCATCATCTTTGCCTAAAATTAACGCTTGTAGGCTAGTTTGACCGCTTTGGGTCTAAACAACGCAAGACTTGGGGTAATTGGATGCAAAGGGCTCAACAATAGCATGTGGAAGTCTACATTGGGTACTTTGAAGAAACACATGAATGTGCAATAACTTAGGAATTTCAACAAAGTCAGATGGGTTTGCATTAGAAATCAGAATAAGAATAAGAAGACGAATAAGAAGAAGGTGTGATAAACGTGTGTGTTCATATGGGGTGTGAGAATTTAAAAAAATTGCCGAGGTTTTGTGCAAATGATGCAAAATGAGGTTTTATGAACGTAAACTTTACCTACTCAGACTACATAATTAAGCGTAGTTTTGTACTCGATCTAAATCAGTTCATTTGAGGAAATGTACATGTTCAACCCAGAAATATACTGTGGTGAGGTAAGCAGAAAACGTTGACACAGTTGGTGATAACCGTCAAAAGTTGGCAATAACCTCCTCCTCATCTAGGGCCGTCTAGTTTTTATCTAGTTATAGGGCCATCTAGTTTTTATGGTACCCAAGGTCGCTCATGGGAACCAGTGTCTATACTCTCTACTTGATTGTACTCCAGATGAATCACCACCCATCCAGACATTAATCGTGACTTCGGCACCGGTACTGAGTGCCTAACATTAACAACCATAAATCGAGTTGGCTTGTGTTTCACCGTAAGCTTCCAATTGTGGAGTTGGAGGCAATTCACCTCCGTAAAAATAGCTGGGTGGTTCTGTATCACATAATACCGGACCTGTATTCATTTCAGCTGTATCAAGCAAAGTATTAGTATCAAATGCATTTCCTGCTGTGGATGACGAACCACCAGATCCAGGAGCAGGAAATCCAGTAATCGGTAAAGTAATTGTGGTTCCTGTACAAGCACCTGATCCACTTCCGTAGCTAATGACATAGTCTAGACCGAGGATGGTGAGGGTGATGAGTACGCTTGGGCTCCCAGCAGTGCAGCAGGTGGAAGGGTTGTAACATGGTGGAAAGCAGGATCCACAGCTGCTATAGCCGCGGTTATAACAGTTCGTATTGTAAGAGCATCCACCGGGTGCCGAACAGCTGTAGGAGTCGCAGGGGCCGGATGAGCACACACTGACGTAGGACATGAGGATGCCTAGATTTACAACTACCACGCTAACGAGACTCATCGTGAAATAATATGGTCAGATGAAGGTGGGAATTTTGAGTGTAAGGGGCAGAAAGATTAAAGTGGATTTTATACTTGCAGAACGAAAGCTGAGGTTAAAAAAGTATTTGTTGTAGGATAATGCTGCCGTGCTGAGGAAGAACGCCGTATGAGCCTTTAGGCGTTGCCAAGTTTCCTTTGATAAAATGCGAATTTATTGGGAAAGTTGTGAATATTTTTCTTCCAATTTTTCAGACAATATTGTTTGCAGTCTAATACAAAGTATCCGAAAATTTCCAGGAAAAATATGCATAACTTTCCTCAAAAATGAATATTTCATTGAAGGAAATGTGGCAACTCGCGAATGGTCATACGGCGTTCTTCCTTAGCAAGGCAGGATGGAGGTCGTGCTTTGCGTTATCAAAAGCTGCTCGAATGCTGTCGATTTCCCAGGAAAAGAAATTGCGGAAAGAGAGAGAAAATATTTTCGCGCGTGGGTTTGGACAGTGACGTTTGCACTTAATTGCGAATTTTTCACTCATCTTTTGTGTATTGCGGTCGAACGTTAAAGACGGAGGCTTCGTAATTTGGTAAGTGGAATGCCTACTGATTTGGTCACGGTCACTCACTTCCATGAATCGAAACGACACTCTCGCTTTGAAGACTATCGCTCGGTTCAAAACGGGCATCCTACTGAAACGTCAAAAATCAATCGTCACTCTATGTTTACAAAATACAGAATACTGGCCGGTTTTAGTTGGCTAGCCGGAGCTAGAGCCACAGGTCACTCTTAAAGTCTCACAACTCGAGAGGAAGGCAATGCTTGTTTATTTTGGTTTTGTTGTTTTTTTTTGAAATGCGCTTTTATACCACGGTAATCAGCGCATGCCCGACACGGCGGCGTTTATCGACTTACAGAAATCTACTATATTTTGCAATTTGGAACTGTAAATTCTAGCCCGGTTTAAAAACAACTTATGTGCCATTAGTTTCCCTATGCACATAAGTGTTTTTTCAGAGTAGCCAGAATTTGTAGTTCCAAATTGTAAAATGCAGCCCAAATAGCAGTTCCTGATTGCAAAATGCGGTCCAAATGTGCTGACGAAAATTGTTAAGTAACTTCCATTTCCGAAAAAATTATGCTATATTCGCTTCAATGCGCTGTAATAAACCAATCTTCATTTGAAAATTGAGGGAGTTGAAAAACCCCCGCTCTGTGGAAGGGACGGATTGGACTTTAGGATTGAAGTTTGAAGGCTGAACTTCAAAAACGCGTGACTTGTTTCCGGGAGGTCAAAATCTACGATCCTAATTTTATTCTGTAAGGAACAAAGTAACATTGTTCAAAATTTGCACTGGTAATTCTATCCACGGAGAAAAAAAAATTACGGAAGTTCTCAAAATTCATGTATGAGGTTAAGTAGTTTCTCCCTTAAGAGATGAAATCTGACACAAAGTTTGCAACGTCACAAACTGAGGAACGCATTTTCGCAGTTTCACCGTCAATGCGTCTTTATTCAAAACCTCCAATGCAGGTGGACTTCTTTCCTTTTTTCGCGACCGATGATAGGTCAATCATCAATTGGACTGAATTTATCGCAATTTGGACCTATAAATTCTGGCTCATCTGAAAAAAACACTTATGTGCATAGGGGAACTGATGGAACATACGTTGTTTTTAAACCGGGCCGGAATTTATAGGTCCAAATTGCAAAATGCTGTCCAATTTACGTTTCGTGTTTTTAATTTGATTTTCTTAATTTCAGGATAACGGTGACATTTTTGTCCATGTCGATGGCTACGATTCCGAGTGCTAGTCTAATCATTATCGTCATGCTCTGTAATATAATTCACGCACCCGTTGAGGACGTTTCACTCCTTTTTGCTGTCGACTGGCTTTTGTAAGTTCCGCTGCATTTTTCTCCCTAAAAAAAGAAATTGCCCCTGCGTCAGGACCTGTCAAATATTGATCGAATATATAACTGCCACAATTATGAAAAATTGTTACAAAATTACAATAGATGCAACAGAAAGATTGCTGATAGTCCGAGAGCTAATTTCATGAAATAAGCATCCAAATTTGCAGTTATAGTAGGAAAAAAAATCATGCCCGGCCCTTCTCATCGACTCGATCCTCTGTGTTATGGTTAATCATGGCCCACATTTTTTTCTCAGTGCAATGCAACTTTTTAAAACACCTGTCGCGGGCTTATCAATTATCACAATAAAATGTTTTTAATTCACAGGGATAGAGCGCGGACGGTGAACAACATACTGGGCGACTGCTACACGATTGCTGTAGTTCAGAAACTATCGGAGAAAGAGCTGGCTGCTCTTGAACAGGTAAAAAGTGCATCACAAATAATGGCGAGGTGTGTAGGATCGATTATCGACATTTCTCCATCGGAAGCTATGGTAAAGAATCGATTATTGAGGTGTTCGTTGCAAACACCCTGTTTATCGATCCTTTTTCATGGATTTAATTGGCAGATAAATCGATAGATCGCAAAGCATGTCACGTCACTGATTAAAAACTTGATGGATCTCGAGAAAAAGGGGCTATAGTTCATTGAGGCAAATTTTTCAGGCAGCGACTTTATTCAAATTGAGTCTAAAATCGGAATTTGAGCATTCGATGGTGGTAAATATGTAGTAGCTTCAATCATTTTCGAGCGGCTAAGTTCATTTCCATGCCAACAGAGAAAATATAAGTGCGTTTTCATCCGAAAATATTTAGCCATGAATGCAAGAACGAATGAAGACTCAAAAAAAAATAATTTCCTCGAAACTGAATTTTGGGAACTGAAAAATTTATACTTCAAAGCATTATACTATTGGGAATATTTTTTACGTTCCTCCCAGCATCCTCAGATTATTTTCTTTTTATTCCACCTACTTTTTAAAGGTCCACAATTAGTCCTGGTGTCAAGCACACAAGCCAGCTCACTGCAAAAATTTATTCAATTTCCAATTCAATTTTTTCTTTGATCGTCTTTGAAATTCAACAGATCACAGTTCTTAATTTTATGCATACCTACATGGTAAATCTAAATAACGTTCTATGCTATTTCAGGAGGAAAGCGGGAAGTTGATGGAATCGGAGCACACAAATGAGACCAACTCAGACGGAAAACGAACACAGGTTTCCGTTAATGCGTGAGCATGAATAACTTATGAGACATAGTCCTCCATAATGGCGGAATTCCTTTTAAATTTTTAGTGTAAATATTTGTCATTTTCCTCGTTTCTCTGTGTTTCTTTTTGATTTTTAAAAATAAGACAAGGGCTCGCGAAGTCAGCTACGCAATTCTTAAGAACGATGCGAGTTTACTTTCGTGAAGGATGACAATGAAGAGAGATGTACTGCCGTGCTAAGGATAAACGTAGTATGAACCCTCAGATGTTTCCAAATTTCCTTTGATACGCCACTAATTTACTAGGAAAGTTGTGGATATTTTTCTTTCAATCTTTCTGACAATATTGTTTGCACTGTAATCTAAAATATTTGACAAAATCAAAGACAAATATGCATACTTTTCCTAAAAAATAAACGTTTAACCGGTGGAAATTTGGCAACTCTCGAATGTTCGTAAGGCGTTTTGCCTTAGCACGGCAGTATACGGATCGGAGCGTCGATATTGTAAATCTTAGGGGAAAGTCCCTAGTACCAAGAGACCCGTGCCAAAAATTAGTGGATGACGTCATTGGTTAGACTTGAATCAATGCTCCGTGAATCTATACCTAAAAATTACATTTTTGCCACGGGTGCAGTGACCTGTCAAAAACTTGGGAATTTTGGCAAAATGAACAGATCCAGACGCGGTAAACTGCAGAGATTTTTGAAGATTACAATAACAAAAAGTATGTAGAAATAAGAAAATTTTTGCACGCTATGTTTGCTGTTTAAAATTTTATCAAGACAAGCAAAAACGAATTCATAATAATTTTGGATGATGTAGTTGACCTCGAGCAAAGCGAAAAAAATGCGGAAGCTCTTCTTTTTTTTTTCGTTGCTTTTCACTCGATTACTGATAATTGTATTATTAGTAACTTTCTTAAGAGACGGTTTTTTCTATCATGATATGCATTGTTATTTGCATGTAATTTCGAAGAAAAAAAAACCTGTATTCCATAATACATGTATGCGTAGAAGCATCATATCGTTGGATACATGATTTTCGTGTAGTGTTATTTTCTCAGTGTAAATGATTGAGATACATTTGTGATGTCTTACATATTCATGATGTGTATTGTCATATTCTTACATAAGTTAGTGCCTTACTTGTTTGATTTCTTTCATTTTTAACCATGACAATCAACATTTAACATTTTCAGATATTCCTAAAATGTTGATCAAAGAGAATGAAGCTTCTCACTGAATTCGGGGAGTTTTGCTAGTGGAATTAAAACGACCTGAATATTTTAGTCAATGTAGGAGTAGATGTGACAAAGAGACAAGAGCTGAAATTAAAATGGTTTCATGAAAACTTTTATACCTTTTCAATAATTAATTTATCCCGAATGTGAGGATATCTTGGTTAGTGAAATGACCTCAGCGAAAAACGAGTATAAATTTTTGGTTACGCTGTTGAAAGTTGAGGAGCGAAACTCGGTGCAGGAGTCTTACAGCGCTCAAAAATCTTGAGTGATATGAATGCGAAGTTAAATTAGCACTTCAAATGCGTACGTCACTCCGCAAAAAGAATGTAAGTAACTCCGTAAGGAGAATAGATTCCGAACCGCAAATGTATCACTCAGGATTTTTAGGCGCTTTGTGTAGACTCCGGCATAGAATTTCACTCCGACATTTTTAGCAGTGTAGAAAATAACAATTCGTGTCTTCACCTATCGTACGGTCATTTAGTAATGCCATAAAATCACTAACACTATGAATTAGTATGGAAGGGGGATGAGTACGTTAAATTGACTCATAACTTAAGGCAATTCTCTAGTCCATATTTTACATGCTCGTAGGCATACCGATCTTAAACTAAGGTAGATAAACTTTGAAGTAGTTACCCATTATCAGGACATGGGCCATAAAGCACAGGAGAAACATTTTACAGAGTACCAGTGATGTTGTTGCTCACTTGTCCGTTTAATAATTCTCATCAAACTAATTTATTCTTAAAATTGTCAGATCGGTACATCTATTTAAGTGTATTAAGTCATAAATTAGTGTGTAAGTGTATTAGGGTCATAAATGCAGGTTTGGTTTTCGTAAGTTTTGCTCAAGATAAATACTTCCAAATTGTAAACTCTCCTGTACAATAAAAGCTTCATCAAAATATCTGTTCCTTTTTCATAACCTTCCACATATTCCTGCAAGGTTTGAAAGTCACTTTTAATCGACGCATGATCTACTTTACAGTCTAATTCAAGGCATTTCTTTGTTAGCACATTTTTAAGGGCTATCTCGGGTCGAAAAATTGGAATTCGAGAATTTTAGCATATTTTGACAGTATTAAAAAAATGTACACGCTGAAAAAAAGAGGAAAAATACCATTAACGTGCGGTTTAATTAATTTTTGTGTCAGAAAACTCGATATTTTTGAGACCCTTTTAACGTGGATTAAAACCTGAACAGGTTTTATCTTCTTACCTGAAAAAGGACAAGATCATACTGCGTTTTTTTTGTCTCTAAGAGCGTTTACCACAGCGATCGAAATGTAGTGCGGTTGGCGCCGTTGATGACAATTGAATGCATCTAATCATGGCTCAGGGACGTTCATATTGCATAAACGGAACATTGAAGGAACTCCAGCTACGCTCACCTTGCAAAAAGACGCGTAGTTAAGTTTGATTTGTAACACTCCGATCAGTGGCGAGGCGTGAATGACCGATTATGGATATTTCCTTATTTGAGGCTATGGTAAAGAATCGATTATTCAGGTGTTCGTTGCGAACACCCTGTTTATCGATCCTTTTTCATAGGTTTAAATGGCAGATCAATCGATGCATCGCAAAGTACGCCATGCCATTGACTCCGATGAGGAAAGACTCTTTGAAGGCCTTATAATTTTCTCATTGATAAGCCTAAGATCTGAAGTTCTATACCGAAATACTTGACAAATAGTTAATGATACCAGTGCTAGAGATAAATTTCACCTCTAGCATGTAAAAAGAGATGTGTGTTGAGGTCAGGCAAAGGGATTTTAGAGGCGGAAACTAAAACTGTTTAGTAAGGGTTTACTGAAAATCACGACTTGGAGGCAGAAAAATGTAAATTCAGTCGCTAGCACAAAAAGCTCTCTACTATACTCTCAAAAAGTTGGGTCAGAATTCCGAGCTAATGATGTGTTCCTAAGATTGCCAGAATCACCGGTCGACTTAACGAGCGTTTTTCCTAAATTTTTTGTTTTTCAATTAGAAATGCTACCTGCAAGTCAATACTTAAAATTTTTCACCGGGGTTTTTTGCAGTAACCGACGCAGAAGTAATCCCTGTGATCTGATTTATACTGAAAAAAGTATGGTAACATCTACTATAATATTACTTGATTTTTTCACACAGTGAAACTATTCAGTGAAAATAACGAGAATGGTGGTATTCACCAGAACTCTGGTAATAATTACCATCACATGGTAAAAACTTCCATAGAATCTGGTGTTTATTTTGATACTACGTTCACCGTGTCAGAGCATGGTAGAAGCTACAACATTTTTTTTTAGTGACGAACAGTTACCTTAATTGTGAATCTTTCCACCGTAAGAGCTTTTGCGCCTAACTGCATCAAAAGTCATAAAATTAAATGCGCCGAGAAAAACCGACAAAAAAACAAATTTATGCTAAGCTCCGAATATTTCATGAAGAAAGCTCTATTGTTCTATGTGGGTGTCGCTGGTGGTTTTCGATGTAAAACCGTGCTTTTTTAAAAATTTGACACTCAAGCGTTTTTATCCAACTGTATTTTTTGGTGCGAATCGTTGCCTCGGTGTAATGTTAAAGGGGCGTGGAAGAGAATTCAAAGTTCAAAGCTTTGCTATTCAGTGCCGCGCTCTACCAGAGAACAGCAAGAACTGCCATTTTAGACTTTTCCGTCAGATGGCAGTCCCCATACTATATTAAAGTTTAGATCAGACGAGGCTCTTCACCCCACATTACTTAGCATGTACGAACATCTTAGACATCTTCTCTCTCGTTTCTTTTCTTCTTCTTCTTCTTTTTCTTTTTGATATTTTGATTTTTTTTTTATAATTTTGGAGGAGGAAAAAGCTTTTTAGCTTCGAGTGATTTATGCATGATTGGCTGTCTCAAATTTGACAGCCCTAAATTCAAAAAGCTCGTGCAGTGAGCGGTCTCCAACGTCTGAACGTTGGAAGCAAACCCTTGTTTCTATTGACTCAACCATATCAATTTCCATTTAAGGCATAAGAAATTTAAAAAAAAAATTGAGGAAGTGTTGTGCAGATAAAGCAAAATGAGATTTTATGAACATGAAATTTACCCAGATTACATATTTAGTTGCATTTACTTTGTATCAAAATCGATTTTGTGCATCACATTTGAAGAAATATACATATTTATCATAGAAAAATATTACGGGAAGGTTTGCAATAAATGTTGACTCAAACGGTGATAACCTCCAAAAGTTGGCAACAGTGCCCTCTTTTCCAGGGGCGCCTTCATGTTCTTGGTTTATAACGGTCTTTATATAAAAGACCCAGTGTCCAATTGTCCATACTCTCTCCTAATGAAATACCCCAGGTGACGTACCTGTCGATCAGAGACGTACTACCAGCTCCAAGTGCATCTGTACGTATCTATCAAAGGATATATCCTTGCTCCACCTGCTTTAGAGAATTTCAATCTAGCTTCAACGTCACTTCTAAAAACATGGCTGGCCCCTGTATCATCTGGATCTGTATTTCCTCCAGCTGTTGTGAGCAAAGTTTTAGTATCGAGTATTTCCTGGGGGCGACGAACCAATGATCCTAGATTAACCATTGACACCACTCAGTTCAGCATCCGTAAAAGGTATTGTTACAATTGTGGTTCCTGTACATGTATCTGATCCGCTTCCGTAGTTAATGACACAATCCGAACCGAAAATACCTCCGGTAAAGGTGATGAGCACGCTTGGGCCCGCAGCAATGCAGCAGGTGGAAGGGTTATAAAATGGTGGATCTACCAGATCCTGGAGCAGTAAATCCAGTAATCGGTATATTAATTGTGGTTCCTGTACAAGCACTTCCTGATCCACTTCCGTAGCTAATGACATAGTCTTGACCGAGGATGTTAAGGGTGATGAGTACGCTTGGGTTCGCAGCAGTGCAGCAGGTGGAAGGGTTGTAACATGGTGGAAAGCAGGATCCACAGCTGCTATAGCCGTTACAACAGTTCGTATTGTAAGAGCAACAATCGGGTGCAGAACAGCTATAGGAGTCGCAGGGACTGGATGAGCACACACTCACGTAGGACATGTGGATCCCCAGACTTACAACTACTACGCTAACGAGACGCATGCTGTAATAATGTGACCGAATGAAGGTGAAAACTTTGAATGTGAGGGGCTAGGCGGTTAAACCGGGTTTTATACTTGCAGAACAAAAAAGCTCAAAAAAGTATCCGTGGTAAATGGAAAAGTCGTGCTATGCGTTATCAAAAGCTGCTTCAATGTTCTCTTTTTCCCCGGACAAGAAATTGTGGAAAGAGAAAGAAAGTCTTTTCGCGCGTGGGCTCGAACAAAAACGCTTGCACTTGATAGAGAATTTTTCACTCATCTTTTGTGCGTTTCGGTTGAACATTAAAAACGTGGGTTTTCGTAATTTGTCGAGCGGAATACTGATTTGGTCACGGTCACTCACCTCCGTGAATCAGAACAACACTCTCGTTTCGAAGACGAATGCTCTGTTGAGAACTGCATACTACCGAGGAGCAAATGTATTGAGTTTTCCAAAATGTATTAATCATCTCTATATATTTATTAAACTAAACTTAAATTTTTGAGGAGGGAAAAACTAAATCATTGCGCTTTATAAAACATGTAATCACGTATTCCCTCATCTTGGTCACCAAGACCGAAATTGAGGTGTCACGATGAAATTCTAACTGAACTTATGCATTTTATTTTTACTTAGTTTCCTCTTAGAACGGGTAACAGCTCTATTCTAACATTTCATCGAGCAATCTGTTAAGTCTGCCAATAATTGGACCGCCTTTAACAGAAAGGAGCCAAGCCACATCAGCTACTGCCAAATTTAATGGGGACATTTAATTTTATTACAAGAGAACGTGTGTGCAGATTCCTTTGAAAATTTGAAGGGATTTGCTTTGTACTACACGGCCGGATTAAGAGGATGGCCACATGGGCCGCGGCCCATGGCGGTAAAATGTAGGGGGCGGAAAATTTTGCAATTGTTTTGAATGTAGGTATCAAAAAGAAAGAGAAAAAAATCTGATTCATCAGAAAATAAATTACAAACGAGAAAAGGCGACAAAATCTCTCATTTCCTGAGAGTAAAAGTACAGTAATTTCTAATTTTGTCGTCTTTCGGTGATACAAGAGACAACACCTTTAATTAGTCGAGTTAAGAGAGAAACCAAACACGCAATTTGACCTTGGAACGGAGCGGCGCGGTGGCGGTCGGCATGAAACGCATAGCGCCTACAAGACTGCATGAATACTTCACGCATTGCGCCAAACAGTGTGGTCAGTAGCGATCGGCGTGAAACGCATAGCGCCTACAAGACTGCATGAATACTTCACGCATTGCGTCAAACAGTGTGGTCAGTAGCGGTCGGCGTGAAACGCATAGCGCCTACACGACTGCATGAATACTTCACGCATTGCGCCAATACAGTGCGGTCGGCGCGGCGGTGGAAGTTTCAATTTTTAACCACATTTATACACCGCAGCCTCAAAAGTTGATTTAGAAATCTAAGGTAACGGGTCATATGTGATCGAATTTTTATTCTCTCGAGTACCAAATGGCAATGAAAAGTGAAATTGTCAGGAATTTTTTCATTCTCAGCTTTTCTAAATTAAATCCTAAAATATTTTTTTGACTAGGTTATGCTCTATTGTTTTGAACCAACCGATACATCGAACCTCTGTCGAATACGATCTATTGATGTTTCAAAACAAATGAGAAAGGGGCGGAAAAATACAGGCGGCTCATGGGCGGCAAGTGGGTAAATCCGGCCCTGCATAGTACAATGCACTATGCAGAATATTCTCTGAAATTTGCACTAAAATCCGCACGACCGCTTTCATGTGAAAAATTGAATTGCCCAATTGAAGGTAGTAACTGACGTGGCTTGATTCCTTTCTGCTTAACGCGGTCAAATTCCAGAAATGTCTTTCTTTTTGAGAGGTATTTTCATAATTTTACCCTTCAGCGCATTTCCTACTACAGAATAAGAGGCAATGAGCTACCGTAGCCTAGTTGGTGAGCCCTGCGTTAGAAATCCACAGCCGATAACAAGACAACGTCACAATTATCTTACACCCAGGGGACAGCAAAGAGCCTTGCGCCTGCAATGAATATCATCGTGGGGAGTGAAAGAGTCGGGTGGTATTTCAGTTTGAACGTGGTGTGCGGTATACAAAGTGCACAATGTTGTTGAAATATTTGGGATACCTCTCTTTACTGGAGATGGGTTTGTATAAAACTTCAAGTTTTTTTAAGGAAAAATTTTTTAAGAGCAGCCCGAGACAATGATAACAGTGGAAAAACAAGGGGAAAAACGGGAAACAAGGCTAAAATACACAATTAATAAAAACCGAGACATTTTGACTCAAAATTAACTAGTCATTTTCAGTCGGAAATACAATAAAAATTTAAAAAGAACGATGAAAATCTGAGCCTCATATGGTGGTGGCCGGGATCTGAGAAAAAAAAAACTCTGAAAATGACACAGTTTTGAGTCGATACGTCTCGGTTTTTAGTAATTGTGTATTTTAGCCTTGCTTCCCGTTTTTCTCCCTTGTTTTTCCACTTTTTTTTAAGGAATGGATGTCAGTCTTCAACTGAATTGAATTTTGCATGAAAATTGCAGCATAGTTCTTCCTCTGAAGCGCACTTGAGTGCTGATCTTTCACACATTTCAATCGTGGAAAAATATTTTTCCCCCCGCCTGCATCAATTTAAAATATTTGTCATTATGTTCCCTAACTTTAACATCAGAACGTCTCACATTTCTCTTTAGTGATGACGAAAGAAAGTTCATTTGACTACTTTCATAATAACAACGATATTCCCAACGACGTATTTAAGTGTAACGCTTCCTACTTTTGATAATTATACAGTTCGATTAAAAATAATCAAAAAATCGAACTTGCCAACTCACAGAAGGCAATACTCATATACTGTCAAGAAATTCTTTAATAATAACAAACTCAGATGTCACGCAGCTTAGCTTGATCAAATAAGTTGAGAGTGGCAACCCAAAATTCATGGGAAAAAATTGTTGCGGGTATTTTTCGATTGATGTTGTACTAAACTTTAAATTTGTTCACCGTAATCAGTCTACGGAGAATTCTGGCAATTTTTCCTCAGAATTTGTGTAAAATAAAACAAGACTCGATGGTTTGAATGTTAAGAAACTTTTCTGAACCATCTCTCTCCTCTCTTCACTTTACGCCGTTCATTTCGCTGATAATAATCGAATTTTTCATTTCTTAGCTGTTTTGTACTTCCCTAGCGGTGTCGGAGCGGAAATCAAGATTTGGATGAGGAACACGAATTTCAACAACTCCCTAAACTGGCGTCCTCCGAGACGACCCTCCGACGAAGATACGGTCGTTTTTCCGTACCAAATGCTACTGGAAGTCATGTTAGCCAAATCGGTGTCTCTTTGTCAGCTCGTACTGCCCAGCTTCGGTTTCTTGGTGATGCCAGTCGACGCCGTCATCGAATTCAGCGGCTTACCGTGCGATCCATCCAAAGGTAAATTGGACTACATTTTGCAATTTGGAACTATAAATTCTAGCCCGGTTTAAAAACAACGTATGTGCCATTAGATTCCCTATGCACATAAGTGTTTTTCCAGAAGAGCGAGAATTTATAGTTCCAAATTGCAACAAGCGGGAAAGTTCTAATACTGTCGTATTAGAAAAGCGCTCAGGTGTTAGTCAATGTATTTAGTGAAGAAAGGAAGTATAAACTCCGTCGACCTGGCTGGGAAATGGAAATAAAACATCAGCTGATAGCAAACAAAGGTTACCAAGGAAACCGTAAACGCGTTTTATCGTTTCCCGAAAATGATAGTCACCGTTGAGCTCATCAGGCGCGTTTTTTTAGGCTTCATTTAAGTTCAACAATCAATTTCGATAAGAATTACTCTACCGCTAAGACATTTTCTTATAGACAAACGATCGAAACTACCTGCGCATTACGTTAAAAGCATAAAATACAGTTTTCACAGCTTTATTTATTTTAAAAATGGACCCCCCCCCCAAAAAAAAAGGCTACACATCGATGAGCTGGTGCGCCATTTAAACGAATTAGCACTAGTATACTAGTGCTCTAGAGGCAAGTCGAACTCAAAAAGCGCTGCCTATCGGCTGAGCGCTTAAAATGCAGTCCAATTAAATGAGGGGCTCGGAGGGAAAAGCGGATAAATGCAGTTTTTTGTGAGAAATAAATGATTTCAACTAAAACTAGTCTTAAAATATATTCTGCGGAACATTCACAACTGAAGTTCAAATCAAGAAATAGTTCGAACTCTCTTTTTGCCACAAAGTCTCCATGTGATTTTAAAAATTTGAACACGTAATGGGCCTGTTGCAAACTTTTGCTAGAGCAAAAATAAGAGTTGTTTCTTGTAGATAATGCCTCAAAAATCACGATGAGCGCATCGGCAAAGTCTGAAATGCACTCATAACTTCACAATCTGCGTAAGAAATTTGCGTTTTTTTAAGCTTCCCGCTTTAAAAACGATACTACGGCACAGGTGAACACTTTGTTAGAGGAGTCGCTCCATCGTCGGCGATATTCATCATGGCCGACGCTTGCGCGCAGTTCCGCGCGTAATTCGAGGAGAGTTCAATGTCAATCAATTCGGGCGTGGAAAATATGAACGTTAACACACCGATTGTTATCTGGTCCAATCCAGTTCAGGTGTTATCTCCGTCCCATCAAACGTGTTTCGGCGGATTGGCGTCGGCCATGATGATTATTGCCGACGATGGAACGACTCCTCTTACAAAATGTTCACCTGTGCCGTAGTATCGTTTTTGAAGCGGGAAGCTCAAAAAACCGCAAATTTCTTACGCAGACTGTGAAGTTATGAGTGCATTTCAGACTTTGCCAATGCGCTCATCGTGATTTTTGAGGCATTATCTATAAGAAACAACTCTTATTTTTGCTCTAGCAAAAGTTTGCAACAGGCCCATTGTTTAATTAGCAAAAACTGCACTTACGCACCGTGTTTTCCAAGCCTCTTAAGGATCCTTTTCCAAGAGAGAATTTATGTAAATGTTTCCTTCTCTGTTTTCTATCCGTCGTCCAAAGATTTTTTTTAATGTTTGAGATTGAACCTTAAATGTGCGTCCAGGCTCAGCTCTGATTACATGATCATCAAAATGTAATCTGGTATTAAAATCCAATTAGACGTATTTATGCCAGACGGAACTATGTGCATTAAGACATGAGCCCTGGGACCCATAAGAACACATTCGTAACAGGGCTCACGTCATAATGCACATAGTTCCGTTTGGCAGAAATACGTCCAATTGTGTAACCATAGGTCCCAATTCTCTCACACACACCAAAAAATAGACTAATGCTCTCTTCATCCCCACTATCCTTAGAGCGTTACGTATTTCATGAATGGCCCCAAATCCGTGTTTCTCGAATCTAGAATTATCGTAACGTAAGTCTCCGGCACTACTACTGCCTATACATCGCATTTTAGGAGGTTAAGGGGCCAGCGCAGCAATTTCAACGCTTCATCCAACCGGTGTACTGTAAACATAGCTGAAAGCATGCCGCGACGTTGCCGCCTCGTTACAATATTCCCCCACAATACGCACAATTTCCACTGAGAACGGGGATGGTCCTGAAGGAGCGGCACCTCGCGGCAGGCCGCCCTCATACTCTTGGAAAACTTGCGGGAAGTTGGAAGTTTGAGGAAACTCAAGTTGGATCGGGTGGCAAACACGCGGTTGCACCGTGCAAAGTGACAAAGGTGGGGCGGACGAGCAAGAATATAAAAGTTGCCACCGGGGCAAGGGAGGGTCGAGGGGATGTGCATCGCTCCGCTGGGCAAAAACCGCGGATAAAACGTAAAGTTTCCGATCGAGTTGCGCGGTTTTTGGCTACCGGGCCAGCGCGGAGCTGGAAGGTACAGATCCAAACAATCAGCGCTCAAAGTGGGTCTTGTCAGGACTCGCGACGCGTAATTGAATCCGAGATTTTGACCCTGCTTGCCGGGTTTATGAAAAATTTCGATATTTTTCCGTGATTATTAAGAATTTCGAAGCTGGACCGTTTGGCCTGGTGGTCAGCGCGAATGACTCCACGTCAATAGGTTCCGAGTTTGAGTTCCGGTAGGAGTGACTGACATTCACAGAAGTGACAAGTTAGCCGACCTGCAGAAAAAGATTCCACTCGGCCGTATTCACTGAAAATCAGTGGCGAGGCGTAAGTGATCGATTATCGATATTTCCCCGTATGAAGCTGTGGTAAAGAATCGATTATTCAGGTGCTCGTTGCGAACACCCTGCTTATCGATCCTTTTCTATAGATTTCAATGGCAGATCAATCGATTTATCGCAAAGCACGCCACGCAAATGCTGGAAATATGAAAAACCTAGAGGGGTATGGCCATTTCCTGGTATCTCAGAGCAATAAATAGCAACTAGAGATGGTTGTAGGCTCTGAACAGAATATAACTTAATAAATAAGCAGTCAAAGAAGAAGACTTTCCAAAATTTGCTGGGACACAGTGGAGGGCCTCAAAGAGCGTTCATGAATGATAGAACGGGGCCGGATGAAGGGGGTGGCCGCATGGGCCGCGGCCCATGGCGGCAAATCTAGAGGGCGGCAAATTTTGCAATTTTTTTAAATGTAGGTATATAAAAATATCGGATTTAGAAAAAAAATTACAAACGAGAAAAGGCGACAAAATCTTTAAGTAGTCGAGTTAAGAGAGAAACCAAACACGCAATTTGGCCTGGAACGGCGCGGCGCAGAGAGCAATGATGACGAAGACTTGAGATGAGAAGGAGAAGCCCTCGGCGCGGTGATCGGCATGTAACACATATTAGCCCCTACAAGACTGCACGACTACTTCACGCATTGCTCCAAACACGGTGCGGTCTGCGCAACGCGGCGGCGGAAGTTAAAATGAGTAAATCACATTTATGTTTGTTCTTTCATAATTTTTTTGTTCATTTCTTATGAATGAAAGGCCTTGTCCACACAGAGATAGGTTTACGAAACTTAACTTTTGCCCTGTCAACAGACAGGGCATTCCCAAAACATGTGTTCAACACGAGTAAACGCGTCTTTTGCACCCCTCCCCCGCTGGCACGTTCACTTGATGGTTTTTGTTGGTGTTTCAATACGAATGAGAAGGAGGCGGCAAAATACAGGCGGCCCATGGGCGGCAAGTAAGTAAATCCGGCCCTGTCATGGAATGCACTTTTTCAGAATTTTTGACCCCCTCCAGCCCACGTTAACGCTTTCGTGAATTAGGTCCCTATCCTTTAATACGTAAAAAGAGGCGTAGCGTTGCCTCCTTGACCCTCCCCCTCCCAGGAACAGCATGCAATCTATGAGCCCCTTAAATCTTGTAGGACAAAAAATTTTCCCCTTATCATGAATCAGTCTTTAGCCTAGTAGTCCTTTAGTGATTTCCTCAAAAAGTCAAGTGGAGCTAGCCACAGCTTAGAAGGGGCATTTCTGCAGGAAACAAACTGTAAAAGGGGGAAAATCGTATTTTGATCTACAGGACACGCTCCTGTTATCTGGTGACTTAACTTGTGGACACCATGTACATTAAAATTTTCCAGGATCACACTTAATCGTCAATTCTCGAATTTTATCTCCGAAGCCTTGAAAATGCTCTACTTGGCAATCGCTCGTTTGAGTAAGTACTCAACAAAACTTCCACCGCAATAATCGCTGGAGGCCTCTAGAACTTAAAATCCAAAAGGACTGTAATATTAAGTAGATTAATTTGATTTTACTTTTAAAGTTGCGTTGCATCCAACTTTCGCCGGGGTTAGGCAGAGCGGGGCACGGTGAAATTGAAGGGATGAATGTTCCGAAATGGCATCTACTGTTGAGTTTCATAAATGATCAACCTCGGAACATATTACTGCATGTCTCTCTTGCGTAGGGTTTCAGTTATTTCAAAGCAGTGTTTGAAGCTCACTTATGAGTGTTAGGAGCCATGTGGCGCATCAAGCCCCATTTTTAGGCGCCATTGAAGATTTTTTAGGGGCCAAATTGATTTTTTGCCTATATATTACGTCGCATTTAGCGATAAGTTAGACGCAATATGTTTTCGTAACAGAATTAGTGAGTAGCTGTAACTTGGGGAAGACAAAAGCACTAAGAATGAAATTGTGGAAAATAGAAAAAACTTTCACTTGTTGTGCTGGAAACTCCGAGTTTTTTTTAATTCAAATAGATGTGTTTTTCTTTCTTTAAGTGACTTTCTATGAAAATCCAGATTTTTAGGGGGAAAATTTTTAGGGGCCACGTTGGCGCAGAGCCTTCATTTTTTAGGCGCCATGGCCGATTTTTTAGGCGCATTTGGCGCGTTGGCGCCTGTGAGTTTCGAACACTGTTTCAAAGCACTATTGCTGATTTTCAGAACTGATTTACAATCGTGATTTCTACGAGAGATGGGAGAATCCGACCAATTGGCTGTACTTTCCGCGAAACAAAGCAACTCCGCATTCAGCCAGAATCCCTTGTCCTTTTGATGACGTCATCTTTCCGTCTAACTCTACTTTTGCGGTGCGTCTACCTCCGATCCCTACCACTGTCAAGAGCTTCATATATAATGATAAGGTTTGTATATACCAGTAAGTGATAGATAAATCATGTGAATTATTTTTGAAGAAACTGTCCTAAATTCGAGTAAGTGAATTTTGGGGTTATCAACTCCTCTTGTCTCGAAGAAAACTAATATTAGCCACCAAATACACAGCAAAAAGAAGCACGAGGTTGTTGGATCATATGAACATTTCCAATTAATTGTGGTAGTACCCCAATTAATTATGGTAGTACCCCAATTAATTATGATAGTACCCCAATAAATTAAGTAACTAACCCAAATGTTGCGGTACTACCCTAACTTGAGTTGCGGTACTAATACAATTAATTAGCAATGTCCATATCATCCAACAAATTGGGTTAGTGCCACAATTTTAGGGGATAACCCTGACACTTTTTTCCGTATAAGTATCAATTGAACCCCGTTTAGTAAAAAGAAACCAAGCCACATAGGCTATTGCCGAAGTTAATTAATTGGGCATTTTAATTTTTTACATGGAAACGGTTGTGCGGATTTTTCTGCAAATTTCAGTGAATTTTCTGCATAGCACAAAGCAGATTACTTACCTACAATTTTCAAGGGAATCCGCACAAATGCTCTGTTGTAAAAAATTAAATCGTCCAGTTAAATGTGGCAATAGCTGCTGTGGCTTGGTTTCTTTCTGCTGAACGCGGTCTAAATGAGTCCGTTTAGAAAGATTGCAAAAAATGTCCCAAAGATAATTGAAAACATTTTCAGAATCGATTTTTATGATTAAAATAAGACGCCCTTGTTTTTGACGCTTTATCAAAGGGGGTCCTTTGGATGGATAGAGTACTGTGCAGCCGTGCTAAGGAAAGACGCCGTATGAACATTCGAGAGTTGCCAAATTTCCTCCGATAAAATGTTAATTTTTGAAGGAAGTCATGCATATTTTCCCTTGAAATTTTTAGATATTCTGGATTAATTTGCGAAAAATACTGTGTGAAAAATTGGAAGAAAAATATTCATGGCTTTTTCAATAAATTAGTATTTTATCAAAGGAAGCCTGGCAACGCTTGAAGGCTCATACGACGTTCTCCCTTAGCACGGCAGTGTGACGGTTGAGCTTCACAGAGCAACAAATAGTCGTATGAAAGCGGCGTCAACAAACGTATAATACCTTATTAATACATTAATGTAGCTTTTACATTTTTCGATTTCCTAGGGGAATTTCGTTACACTGAAAAAAATATGCCGGTAGATTTTACCATCTCTGACACAGTGATACGAATATGGTAATAAACACCAGACTCTATGGTGGCATTTACCATACTATGGTAAGAATCACCAGAGTTCTGGCGAATACTACTATAATTCTGGTTATTTCCACTAAATAGTATCACTGTGTAAAAAATCAAGTAGACTCATAGTAAATGTCACCATACTTTTTTTTCAGTGTAGTTGATTGCATTTAAACGTTTTATTCTCTAAATCAGGAGCTGAGTTCACAGGAACTGAGGTCATTCATAGGCGAATCACCGATAGGCCAATCTCAATTCCTCCTCACTTCTACTAGTCATAACGACATGGTAGTGCCTACAATCACCGGGCAGGGATGTCAGAATCCCACAGGCTGTTCTTGTGGTACTGAAAGGCTCATGCAGCTATCTTGCAATGCATTTTCTACGTGGTTGTGCAACGTTCCACACTGCCGAGATCCTGTCAGACCTGCTGGACATTGCTGCGATATTTGCGGTAAGGATATAAATGTGTCAGTTGCGCTAGTCACAGAATCGGGTTTTGATGCTTGATTCTTGTAGATAAGCTAAAAATAATGAGATCCATCCAAACCGCAACTATCTACGTTCAATATTAACTGAGATATCGCCCTTCAAAAAGTCAGGTTTTTGACATCATCCACTATGGTAATGACACCCTTGGTTTCTTCCACCTTGCTTTCATCAATCAGGGAAACACACATTTGATGCACTGGTTACTCACCGTGAAACTCGGATGAAAGTAAGGTGGAAGAAACCAAGGGTGTCACCACCGCGGTGGATAGACACCCGATAAAAACCCGACTTTTCAAAGGGCGATATCTCGGTTAATATTGAACGTAGAAAGTTGCGATTTGGGTAGAGCTTATTATTTTCAGCTAATCTACAAGAATCAAGCACCAAAACACGATTCTGTGACCAGCGCAACTGATCCATTAGTTTCGAACATTAATCAGTACAGATTTGTAGACAAAATAAAGTCAGAAGTACAGGTACCTGTTACAACAATGTAAGCAATATTTAATTATACTTGAGGGAAAAGTTAAGCTCGGAGATAATTTGGACGTATTTCTGCCAAACGGAACTATGTGCAATAAGAAATGAGCCCTGAGACCCGTAAGAACATATGCATAACAGGGTTCACGTCATAATGCACACGGTTCCGTTTGACAGAATCACGTCCATTTGTTATTTTACGCCGAATGTCGATTGAGGAGTAACTTTTTGAGTAAATATTTAAATAATAATTATCGATGAATGTTAGGGTGAACACCCTGTTATGCAAAAGACCCATTTCTTGCCATTACGAAGATAATTTTAAGAAAATTACATCTGTGGGTATACTTGTTTCTTTTCATGTCAACGGGTTAACATTATTACCTTCCCAGTGTGCCATTTTTCGGATGAAATCCACCAGCATTATACCCAACCCCAAATTATGTGATCTCATTACTTCAGCGAAATTCTGTTGCAGGAGCCGTTTTAGAATTTAACTATGACCCACTGAAGTTTAAAATGTCGGAGCTGGATATAATTTTGGAATCGTTTCTGAGTCTCGTCAAAAATCAGAAAGGAGTCGATCTGTTCTACCACTCTGGAAAAACAGACCGTAACACCATCCAAGCTGTGTTGGTAGAGAAGGGTCCTTACAAAGGCGTGATCACCGATGCACTACACCATCTAAAAAGCCAGATCTTAAACGGTAATTTCTTCAATTTCAAACCTACAATTGAGGCACTGGATGCAAAAAGGGCACTTCTCGGAAAGACGAGTTTTGAGAGAACAGCATTCGAAAGTTCAAGGTCATTTTTATAGGCTTAAGTTTAATATAACAGTGTCACGTATTTTCTTATGACACTGTTATATTAAACTGAAGCTTGTGCAAAATGACTTAGAGCTTTCAAAATGCTGTTTTCTTAAAACCCTTGTTCCAAAAAGTGCCCTTTTCGCGTCCAGTGCCTCAATTTTGCAACGTAGAGTAAGGTCTTCGATATTTGAAAAAATATCTTTCTTAATATTTGGGAAAGCATCTTGATACTTTAAGATCCCTGCAATGTTTGGAAATTAATCGTTTTGAAGTATAATAAAGCTATATAATGGCCTGGAATCTTCCAAGAGTCATATTCCCAAAAGCGAAGAAATTTTCAAGATAAAGTTAATGAGCCTTTTTTTATATTAAAAAAGAAGAAGATGAGGAAGGGGAAAAAACATAGGTGCAGAAACTGAGGACTGTGTTCTTAGTCGTCCCATTAACAGCTCGTATCCTAGGGTGGCGGGCTCTAGATAATTCACATTGTGATAAAAAGAGGTTTAAGTACATCTTTTACAACATTTCTAAGTACAACATTCCTTAAAAAGAATATAATTTTAACGACTCTCGAGTCAAATTCTACAGTATAACCTAGGAAATCGATCCTTGTGAAAGATTACAATGACTAGCCTCCGCAAAAATAAAAAACGCCAAAGAAATTATGTTGCAGGTTACTGGAATCTGAAATCAGGTTTGCACCTCCATCTCAAAGTTCATCAAAATCAAATAATTTTTCCTTCCATACTTACCTATTTTTGGCAGGAGGCAAATCATCGCTATTTCTTGTAATGCTTTTTTACCAAAACAATTCTGTTGAATATTACTCGAAAAAACACGTACATGCATAAGGGAACTAATGGTTCATACGTTGTTTTTACACTGAGCCAGAGTTTATTGTTCCTAATTGCAAAATGTAGGCCAATTTCTCAGGTTAAGATGTCAAGAATTTCCTTAAACCAACTTTAATCACAAGACCACCATAAAAATAATATAACCACCATAAAACCATTTGTGGCCTCCTAAAGAAAGGAGCTGTTTCAGGAACGACGAAGAATAAGACCTTTAAATACTTTTTCTTGAACTCATTTTTCCAAGAAACACCTAAGAATGTCCCACGAGTTTATAATGCATTAAACAAGATTATGAACGGGTTTTCTCCCATGAGGTTTGTCCCGCATAGGAAAATGATAAAGTCCTTTCTTTTGAAAGATTATTTGAAATTGAATTACTCTCGAATCTCTCGCTTTCAGATCAGTCCCTAGGATTATCCATAGCACGACTTTCGCTGGCAGGCGATCCGTACGACCCAGAAGCGATATTTACTACTTTTAGTTCTTTCCTGATGATAGTGCTACTGGTCATTGTTGGTTACATTTGTTTCATCGTGTACGATTCTAACATGTGAGTACCGTAGATATTTTGTTTTTGAACTGTTTTAAAAACATTTTTAGTTACTTCAGGATGGGCATACTTCTATTTTCAGTAGCGTGGCCGAATTAAGAGAGAGAGAGAAAATGAGGGTGGACGATGACGCTCCTCGTGACTGAACACTTTTTAGTTAAATGTTTCCAGTTTTGGGTAAACCCGTTATGTCCGTCGCAGAAAGTTAAAATAACATTGCGTACAAAATGAGGCTTTTCGAATTTCAACTCATTGAAATCGTGAATTTTGAAAAATTTGCAACATGTTGTTCCATTCTGTAAAAAAGTCAGTATTTTTTTGGTGTGTCACACAAGGTGGTTTTAAATTTCCAAGGAAACCCCCCGATCCGTAGAAAAGTTTTGCCCAACAAGAAAGCTGCTCGGAGGAAATTAGCAAGAGCTTAGTGAAACTAGAAAAACTAATACGCATTAATTTAATTACCTTGATTTGACTTTTTTTTCTGTCCTCCAGAAACTTCGTTCAACTATTCAGATCGTCGAACCTCTCAAATTTCGTCAGGTTTGAAAATGTAACAGGTGAGGTTGAGCTACGGTATGAAGTTCAGCCCACGTTCAGAAAATCTTTCCGCAATCCTCTCTCTTCCCTCCTGCAGACTGCCTCTGGGAGTGAGGAACAATCAGAGGTACGCAAATTTAAGTATCAATGGTGATTGCGAGTCCATTCGCGTCCCTGACACTCAGCTCAATTTGTGTCAGTCAAAATAAGTAAGGGAGTGTAATTTAAATGATAAAATCTAATAACTTTGATTTGATCCAGAGAGTTTCAATAAAAAATAACCACAAGAATTTGTGATAATTTTTATTACAACCCCTCTTAAATTTACGTGAAGTTGTACAGTAACTGTGTATAAACCACATAACAACATTATTCGCGTTCAAACTAAGGGAATCCTCTCATCCGCTAAATCAACAATGAGGAATCTTTGGTTTTAATTTTTTGATAATTTTAGCAATTTGATTGCTTTTTCCCGGTTGACAAAGGTGTCGAAATTAGTCCGGAATTCCAAAACATTTTGTTATGAATTTTAATCCCGTTCACACATTTTTCTTGTGTTCTACTCGATGAATTATTAGTTGGGCTCAGTTTATTATTTCTCTCAAGGTGATTCGATGAACGCCATATTTTGTGTCAGAACGGCATGCGATATATCGCATCAATTGGTTCCATTTTTCCAGCTACTCGTCATTTTTCTCCAATTTTGAGATCGCAATTCTGTTGTCAGGAGGCTTAAGCACTCTTTTACCAATTTTAACAAAGAAATTCAACGTAATAAAGGCATGGATTTTTTAGAGAGAAAATATTGCATTCGAGTGCAGTTTCGATATCAGTATCGAATGCGATGTTTTCTTTCTAAAAAAACCACGCCTTTATTACGTTGAATTTCTTTGTTAAAATTGGTAAGTGAGTGCTTTAGTCTCCTGACAACAGAATTGCGATCATAAAATTGGAGAAAAATGACGAGTAGCTGAAAAAATGGAACTATTTGATGCGATTTATCGCATGCCGTTCTGACACAAAATATGGCGTCCATCGAATCACCTTAATAACTATACTATATTATATTTATGTATTTCGATTTGATTTTGCAGCCGGAGCTACATGTCCCCGAGGAACCGACGATATCTTACAATAACTTGGCCCTTGAAAATTCTGAATCTGAACCTGAGCAAGAAAGTGGTGACGTCGAGATGAATGAAATGGCAGCCAATAAATCGGAAGAGAAACAATTGCACGATATTGATTTAAGCTGAACGAGTATGTGCGTTTATTTTATCAATACAAAGTTTTAACAGAAGTCTTCATAATTTAAGCTTTGTGAACTTAGCTATAGATTTTACAAAAAGGGTATATTTTGGGAGTCTGAAGGCGAGTACCTTCTCAGAAACTCATAGTGAATATTTTTTTCGTATCGGAGAACTAGCCAACTGCGTGCCTTGGTTTTTTAATTACACTAACTGACTAAATTTATTTGTTTCATTTTTATTGATAAATCTACGCAGAGTTTACATTCAATTTTCGCTTTTCTCACAGAATTCTGAAAAGTTCTATGAAAGTTAGGTAGGTACAAAGCATGTTAATTGTGAAATGTCATGGAGTAGAAAAAGTAAAAACTTTCCTCATCAGTGATATGCCAGTGGAAGGTCATATTAGAGTCAATGGAGATGTTGCATGTGTGAGGAATTTGCGATTTGACTGTTGATTCTCATGCAAAAGTTCGCGAGAAACACGATGGTGTCACTGGTTTTCTCTGAAATCAACTCCCAAGCTCAAAAAAAGCTCTCAAGTTGAGGCCAAAATGGAGGGGATATCCCACGCTATCCTAAGAGTTTACCTCTACATCAAGACAACTCTCCATGCAAAGATAGGGAGCAAATACATTATTAGGGTTGCAGTGTTTTCAGTTTTGGAGTCCCCGAATAAAGTGGCAGCTCTGTCAATGTATTTGCTCCCTATCTTTGCATTGAGAGTTTGACTTCATGCAGAGGTGGACTCTCAGGGTAGGGTGGGATATATATCCCCTCCATTTTGGCCCCACTTTGAGAGCTCTTTTTGAGCTTGGGAGTTGATTTCAGAGAAAACCAGTGGCACCATCGTGTTTCTCGCGAACTTTTACCTAAGAATCGACAGTCAAATCGCAAATTCCTCACACATGCAACATCTCCATTAATTCACAAATATTGACCTCCTGACCCAATATTGCAGCCCTGAGTATTTTCATGACAATTGAGTACATTCTTACCTGGGAACCCGACTGGCTATATCTCCTGGAAAGTTCGACTGTCCGCGCTCCGTCGAGAAGTTTGATTTGTCAGGCCGGGAGAGACATGGCGTCGGGAGCTGGGGGATGATTTTTACGAGGTTGGGCGGCGCGAAGAATGGGCGATAAAATATTTGCCGGGCTCCCCGAGCAGCACTTAAGGCGCGCGGATGTAAGTCACTTGCCGAGGCTCGGTAGTAATTATTCAGGGACGCTTCCGCCGTGCATCTTGAGCTCGCTAGGCTCCGGAACCTGCATCCCTGCATCCCTGCATCCCTGCATCCTTGCGCGGCATACATAATACACAATTCTACCGGGTACTCAGCTATGCATTAAATAGCTTACAGAGCGAATGCAAATACGCCTGAATACTGCCCTCCGATCCCATGTTGCCGTTCTTGGGCCCACCTCATAGGATGCTCCTGAATGCGAGGGGACGAGGGGAGGGGGGGGGAGCACCAGATGTCAGAGACAATTGGATTGCATTTTGCAAAAAGGAACTAGAATCATTGCAATCGACGACTAAATACGTAAAAGAATACATAAAACGGCTGGAATAAAATTATACTTTCAATAATCTAAAAACTCATATTTAAAGTTATTTTCAATTTCACATATTAATGTTTTTTAAACTATTTAGATTTAAATAACGTTTAGATTGTGCATTGTCGTCCTTTGCAAAAAAATTACTAAAATCATGAAAGAATATGAAATTTACATGGTAATTTTTGTCTTAAATTTACAGTTTTTAGCGAATAAGATAGAAACTGTCAATGGATAATCAGGTTTTCCTTCCGAGACAGAAGAAGCTGCACAATCTTGGCACCATTACAATGCTCTTGGTTCCTTTTTGCAAAATGCAATCGAATTATGTATATTTGGGCTAAGGAAGAATACAGCGTAACTGACAATTTCGGCGAATATGAGTTAGCGATTTTGCCACATTCTTCAGTTTTCTTGGTGTCCTCACTCCTGGGGCGCGAAGCGCTCTAAGGGGTCGGACCGCCGAGCAGTTAGGGAGCGCACCTCTAGTGTTGTGATAGTTTATGAATGTAAATGGAGTGATTTTTTGGGACTTTAAAATAGAGAAAAGAGAGGTTATGTTTTCATTATTTTTGTTTACATCCGAGCCACCGCCATCTTGGTGCACACTTTCGTGACACCATGAGCGAGAACCAATCAGAACTGGATTTTTTAAAGGCCACTTTAAGCCCAACTAGAATTGAGTCTCTCCCTGGGTATAAAGGAACTCTAACCCAATTCGACGTTTCGGAATTAACGATGCGATATTTGCATTGAAGACCGGTCTGGCAACGTCGCTTTAATGACGCGCATTGAATATGCGGACCGTGGCGTTGGGCTCGGAACATACGGCGACGGCGAGCCGAGATTTTCGCGAATTGCTCCTTCTCTCGGGTGATTCGCCTTGTAAAATTCATACGGTTTTATCGCCGTGTTACGCTCTCGACAATCGCCTCTGTTTAACCCCCGCGACAGGGCCAATTCGCGACTCCTCCCTCACCGCAAGGTGGGCTCGGCTCGTGTCCCCAAAAAAGCTTATATTCCGTACTGCTGTGATAGCGAAGGAAGCAGTAAGTGCATGCTGGGATGAACCCCGAGACTTATAAAAGCATGTGCTAACCATGGCTCATACCGGAATGCATTTACTGCTCTCTTCGCTATCACGGAAGTATAAGTCACGGAGAAACAGAAATCGTCACCTTTCGGCCAAAGTATCAAAGCGCCATGTGACGTTTAAAAATTTCCGCCGCCATTTTATTCTTTACAGAGAAATTGTTGGTTGAATTTGTTTGAAAATTTCACTGGGTTTTATCGGCAGCACGAAGATAATGCAGTGAAATTTTCGGACAGTTTCGTTGAGGTATCTCTCTGTAAGAAAATAAAATGGCGGCGGAAATTTTTAAACGTCGTATGGGGTTACAGGACATTTTGTCAACGATTTTTTGTCCACGCACCTGTTCTTTCTAGTGGTTTAAGTCCACGCGTTTTTTCGGGGCTACTATTTCGCCACGGAGGTGTTGCACAGTATCATAGGATATTGAAGGCACCCCAACGTATCATGATTGATGGCATCTTTTGAAAGCAAGAAGTTCCCTCGCAAATAATGGAAGGGAGTGACGAAAACAAAAACCGAGCGGTAGTAGAAGAACTTACAAAGTCCTAGTATCTGTATTCAATAACGTTTAGCATGATTTTTGAACTTCATCAGAGGAAAAAGTGACTTGATTCAAGTAGAAATATGCTCAAATTTACCGCCGAGAAGATTCCCTTATGAATGAATAAAGAAAATAATGCTTGATTAAAGGAAATATGCTTATATTAAAAGAAAAGCCACTTACTTCAAGCAAAAACCCGCTTTCATTCAGCTATATTATTCTTGATTCAAAATAAAATCTTCTTGTGGCATACTCAAGAATGTTTAAGCCTTTATCGAGACAATTTTTTCTATAATGAAATTAAAAAATTATGCTAAACTTATTAAATACGGGTGCTAACTGCAAAGACTTAGTGAGTTTATGGACTACCGCTCTTTTTTTGTGCCATAGCATCTCGATTTATTTTGCGAGAAAAGCTCCGTACTCTTAAAGAATGCTTGTCATTCTTGATACGTTGGAGAGCCTTCAATTCTGAATGATACTGCACAACACCTCTGTTGCGATCTAGTTGCTTGAAGCGCTGCAGCGCGGCGGGCGAGGGTGACTGGCGCGACACGCGCATTGGCGCCTGCAAACCTAACAGGGATACTTCACGCATTGCGCAATGCGTGAAGTATCCCTGTTAGGTTTGTAGGCGTCAGTGCAGCAGGCCGCTCCGCTCTGTGTCTGGCTCTAATATTTAAACTCACGGAGCCAGCGTTTTTCAACTAATAATTTTGAAATGCTTGCACACTCTGCATGGATTATTCGCATTTAAATTGATGGGAAAAAATGTAATTAAAATACGAAGAATCCTTTTCATTAAAATATTGACATTTTCCGTATAAGGAACAAATTTCTAATTCTGCGAATTTCTTTCACCGAGCAAACCCGCTCTTGGCCACAAATATTGGCTCTCTTTCGCTGTAAATTTCTAAAAAAAAATCATCCGATCATTTTTTTAGTAAAATTGAAAGCGTGTACCAATCTTTCATTCGATATACTTGTTCCCGCACAAGGGAAAACGTGGGTCTTGCGTTACTTGGGGCTTGTCCCACTGATGATACAGTTCGCAACCTTGTGTAATATCCTGGGTCATGCAAAGTCTTTCATTTTCGTGGTGTTACCAAGTAAACTTATTTCACACCGTACACCCTTCACATTGCATTTTTAATGAACCGGATAGAAATTGTGCAAGAGACTCCAGCCTCTGATTTGCTAATTTTGTGAGGAGTCAACTTACTCTTAAATTTGCCGCTAAGAAGATTTCACTCCGAATCAAGAATGAAATCGCTTAAGTCAAGTAAGGTTCTGCCCAATATTTTCACAGCAAAAATGCTCAAATGCTCCAAAAAATTCCAGCAAATTTCTGTCTATGTATAATCATCTTTTTTTCTCAATATGATTCTCTTATTTTCTTGATTTATCATTTTCGTTCTTTGCTCAAGAGGAAATCTTTTTGACAGCGAATTCTAGAATATTTTTACTTAAATCAAGTCACTTCTATTTTCGATATACATCCTTGGTACAGTATCCGGACATCTTTTTTATTGAAATTTTGACGGAACCCAATATAGGGTTAATCTTGAAGGGTATTTATTAGTTCACAACTATCTGGAACACTAAATTCATAGCTATTCCTCTCCCCTCCATACGGTTCTCCAGCTAGGTCTACCTTTCACAAAAACAATTTTTTTTCTATAAGGGATTATGTTAATTTTCAGAAGAACCTTAGGCTGTAAGACAGTTCTAGTATAATGTAGCTCATATGAAAATTGGCATGTTCCCTTTTGAAAAAAACTCGTTCATGTGGCTCGTAACCGAGTGGAAGACTATACCCAAGGGGAGCTTTCTTTTTCCAAGGTACAAAGAAAGAAACTTAGGGCTCCAAGCTTC